GCATATCTAGAGGATCTGATAATAGAGATCAAAGGATATTACAATGTTTAAAAAAATGTATTAGATAAGGATGTGAGCTAACCTCACTTCAAAAAAGAATATGTGTATGGGTGTATCTGACAAGATACACAAGAAATAGCTAGATTTCTCAACACCATTTTTGAATGATGCATGTTCCTCCTTTATTATATACTGTACCTAGTCAACCATTTTATCATATATTGTACCTGGTGTGCTGCTAACCATTGTGATTTAGAATTCATTTTAATAGCATTTAGTGTTAAAAAAATAGCTTTTAGTGTACTTCCTCCTCATTTCTTTTCTTTTTTTTTTTTTAAGATTATTTATTTGTTTATTCATGAGAGACAGAGAGAGAGAGAGAGAGAGGCAGAGGGAGAAGCAGGCTCCCAAGGAGCAGGGAGCCCGATGCGGGACTCGATCCCAGGACCCTGGGATCATGACCTGAGCCGAAGGCAGACGCCCAACCATCTGAGCCACCCAGGCGCCCCTCATTTATTTTCTTTTTAAGATCTTCTTGGTTATTTTTATTTACTTATTTTTAGATTTTATTTGAGAGAGAGAGTGCACATGAATACAAGTGGCGGGGAGGGCTAGAGGGTAAGGGAGAGGCAGGCTCCCTGCTGGGCAGGGAGCCCAATTCGGGGCTTGATCCCAGGATTCTGGGATCATGACCTGAGCTGAAGGCAGATGCTTAACTGACTGAGCCACCCAGACACCCCTCTTCTTGGTTATTTTTAAAAGGTTAATCTTCCAAATGAATTTTTAAATTATTTTGTCAAATTCCCAAAGTATTGTTAGACACTTGATTAAAATTATACTGGATATGTAGGTTACTTTTAAAAGGTATTAGAATTCTATGATGTTTGGGTGTTGGTATTTATTTATTTATTTATTTTTAAAGATTATTTTAGAGAGAGAGCACAAGGGGGTTAGGGGCAGAGGGAGAGGGAGAATTTCAAACAGACTCCATGCCCAGCACAGGGCCCAACTTGGGGCTCGATCTCAGAACCCTGAGATCACAACCCTGAGATGAAGACCCTGAGAACACTACCTGAGCGGAAACCGAGAGTCAGATGCAATTAACCGACTATGCCACCCAGGGACCCCTGAGTGTTGGTATTTAATCTAAAAGTAGCTCTTCTTTTTTTTTTTTTTTGTTTTCTTCCTTCTTTCCTTCCTCCCTCCTTCCTTTCTTCCTTTCTTCCTCTTCTCTTCTCTTCTTTTCTTTTGCTCATACCCATAGTGGACCAAACAAGGGCTTGAACTCACAACCTGAGCTGAGATCAGAGTCAGATGCTCAACCAAGGGAGCCACCTAGGTGCCCCATCTTTTCTTTATTCAAACATTTTTGTCTTACAAATTCATTTTTAAAGTAAATTTTATTAATTTATTTTAGTATTCATTTCTAGCTATTTGATTATTGTTATTATAAATAGGATTCTTTTTATATTGTATGTTCTAACTGGTTATGATTTATACATGAGAAAGCTCTTCATTTTGTATGTTAATTTTTTTAAAAGATTTTATTTATTTATTTGAGAGAGTGAGTGTGAGAGAGCACAAGCAGGGGGAGCCTCAGAGGGAGAGGGAGAAACCCTGAGATCATGACCTGCCCCGAAGGCAGATGCTTAACGGACTGAGACACCAGGGGCCCCTGTATGTTAATTTTTTAAAAACTGGTTACCTTAACTCATCTTTTATTGCTTCTAAAAATTTTTCAACTGATCCTTGGAGTTTTCATATAATTTGCAAACAAATGTCAATCCTAACTTATGTTCAGTATTTAATTTTGTATTTCTCTTTCATGTTCTCACTGGATTGGCTATCATATCCTTTCATGATATGATGATGAGCATTCTTGCTATGTTTAATGAGAATAATTGTTTCATTATAAAGCAAGTTTCTGGATTTGGTATAAAATATATATTGTTGGGGCACCTGGGTGGCTCAGTCGTTAAGCGTCTGCCTTTGGCTCAGAATCCCAGGGACCTGAGATCGAGCCCCCGCATCAGGCTCCCGGCTCCACGGGAAGCCTGCTTCTCCCTCTCCCACTCCCCCTCATTGGGTTCCCTCTCTCGCTGTGTCTCTCTCTGTCAAATAAATACAATCTTTAAATATATATATATATTTAAATTATCTGGGGCGCCTGGGTGGCTCAGACGGTTAAGCCTCTGCCTTCGGCTCAGGTCATGATCCCTGGGTCCTGGGATCGAGTCCCTCATCGGGCTCCCTGCTCCTTGGGAGCCTGCTTCTCCCTCTGTCTCTCTCTCTCATGAATAAATAAATAAAATCTTTAAAAAAAAATAAATTATCTATCCTAAATTCTTTAAAAGTTTTCATTAATGATGTTGGATTTTACAAAATCCTTTTCATTATCAGTTGAAACACTCATACAGATTTTTTTTCTTCCTTGACTTATTAATATAGTCAACCAAATGAATAAGTTTTCTATTACTGAATCATTCTTATATACCTGGCATAACTCTTCTTAATTTTGCCATGGCATTTGTAACATAGTTCTGGGGTCTACATGTATCTTAAGTATTTTAATTTTACATTATATCCAAAAGGAGATTAATTTGTAGATTTCTCTTTTGTGTACTCTTTACACTCTTTATCAGGTTTTGGTATCGTAGCCATTTATTTTAAAACCAGCCTTTTACCTCATACAGAACAGAAGGATTACTGGTGAAAAAGCCCTGAGGGCAACCACTTGAAATGGCCTTAAGGGGGGGTGGGGAACAAGGCTCACAACACTGGTTTGTCTACTTTTGAGAAAATTTGCAACACTATACTCTTCATACTTTCTTGAATTTGTAAGCTATTCCAAGTATTATGGATTTGCTTTTCTTTCTAATAAATATATGAACTTTCTTTCAATGACAATGACCTTAGCACTGTTATACATGAACCAGAACACTTAAAAACTGCTATTTCAGAAAATGGGGGAAGGACTGGGGAAAGGGCTCTAGTCCTTCACTTCTGTCTCTAGTCCAACTAGGCTGGTCTTCTCACTGTTACTATCACCACCCTATTCCTGTTGTTGCACTTTGGCTGAATGTTGTTTCCTTCGTTTGTGTTTCCTCATGGTGCTTCATTCATCCCACTACCTACTCTTCTTCAAAGCCCAGTTTAAATTCCCCTGCTCCTTAATATGACTAATTCAGCCCATTCAACCGACCACATACTTTCATCTGCTACTGTACTCAAAGTTTGGCTGCACATTCTAGCCATAATCTCAAATTGTTTCAAGAATGCTACTTTTCTTTCTTAGGCGCTGTGGTTAGCTCCCTGAGGGCAAGGACCTTATCTTAAAATTTTGCTGTGCATTTTCCATCGTATTTAGTGCTGTGAGTAATTACATTCAGTGCATACTTGCAAGGCATATTTGACTAAACACATCCATCACAGTTATTCATTTAGTAAATGAGATAATGAAAAGTCAAGTGCTCGCCAAAGGTAAATCATTACTATTAATTCCCTCATTCATCATACATGTACAGCAGCCTCAGGGGCTAGGGAACCTAGGATTGCAGTTTTAATTTCACCTCAGATCTCTCCATTTTGGAGCCAGCCGTGAAGTTTAGATTCACCTAGGGCTCAACACTATCAGCCCAGGACTACGTTTACCCCCAGGCCCCCTATCCAGAGTGGACCAGGTTACCTTATCCGAGAATAAACCCAAACTGTTGAAACTCAAATGACAAGATACTGTTTGCTCATGAATTCAGGAAGACTTTCTTGTTGATTGTTGAAACCCAAATCTTTTTGTCTGCAGGAGGGGTATAGCTGCTAGGACATAACTTTGCCAAGTGGCAATGTGTAGTCCTATGTAGAAAAATGAATATTCTTTATTTTATTCGATTACGTCGAAACTTGTACTTAATTTTTTTAACTTTAGGATTATCTTAGTTTCAGAGGAATTTTAACAGAAGAATTTACATACTTTTTCAAAAATATTGAGTATTTGAGTTTCCCCTCGGGCATATGGGGTTGACGAAGTGCTGCCAGCACACCTTTGAAGATCACTTTACAACTGTGGGAAAACTCACCGAACTGTTTTCGTTGACCCCGCTATTTCCAAGTTGCTATATTGCTGCAGGGAGCTGGCACAGCCCTGCTCTTTCTCTCTTCCCTCTTCTCCTCACGCTTTCAAAGCCCAAATCCGCCCGGTGAGAATATGGAAACAAGGCTGGAAGCCAGGGAGGGCAAGGGGGGAGGGGTTATTTAGAGTCACAGGGGAAGAGCAAGCAGTTAGACATTTTTCACTCTCCCTCACACTCCCTAGGGCCATAAAATTCTGTTTCTGAAGTTGGAAGCGTGGGGGCGGTCGGCCGCGTTTTCAACTTGGCCTAAAATTAGGAGTCCACACTGCAGGGGAGAGGAACTTCGCTGCCTCACGACCGACCTGAGCGTCGGGTTAGCCGGAACACTAAAAGCCAGGCCCTAGGCACCAGTTGTCATGGGAACCGGGGCGCTAGTCTCCCCGGCGACCTCGTCCCTAGGGAGGGGGCGGAACTAGAGGCCGGGAGGGCCAATGGGGCGGAGGGGAGCGGCCGGTCGCGGATCGCTCTCCTCCTAGAGCCCGGGAAGGCTTTTGAGTGACAGGAACGGGGGCGGGGCCGGCGCGGGCGGCTGAGGTGGAGCCGGCGTTGTGCTAGTAGCTTCGGCGGCGGTGGTGCGGCTAGGCTCACACACCATGATCACGGCCCCTAGAGACCGCCTTGCTGGCGCGCGGCACTCCCTAGCTCCCTGGTCCGCCTCAGCGCCCTCGGCAGCACTCGGAGCCGGCTGCAGGAGTTGAGCCGCCCCTCGCCAGAGGGTTTTGGCAAAGCTCTGGGAGGCGCGCGGAGCACAGGAGGGCGGAGAGGGTACTCCAGCGCTCGGGGGTCAGGCGGTCGGCCGGGTCGCGGCTGGAGGGGCGTTTCCGAGGCGTGGAGGAGGAGGAGATGCTGCTCCTCTTCTCCCCCTCCCCAGGCTCCTTCTTCAGCTCCTTCGGCCCACGCCCGCAGCCGCTTGGCGGAGAGGAGGTGGTGGCTCTCGGCGCCCCAGGCTGCTGCCGGCGGCCCGCCCCGACGCCGCGTCGGCTCAGCCCTCGCCTCGCGCTCCAGTAGCCGGACCGGGTCTCCGGACGAGCGGGTAAGGACGAAGGGCAGCCCTGGGCTCTGGTAGGATATGCGGTAGTGCGAAACAAAGTACACCAACGCTCCCTGTCCTCTCCCAGCTTTTGCTCTAGCCCCTGAAACCAACTCCTCTGTTGCCCTGGTGGGGAAGGAACTTTTCTTTGGTTTTCGTGGTGAGGTGGCTGGGGTGGGGAAGGATGAGATGAAATTTCGTTGTGAATTAGGTAGATCCACCTTCTCCGCGGAGGAAAGCCGGGTTCTTGAGACTGAAACCCCAGAGGGAGGGTAAGAGATTGCCAGGTAGTAGGGAGTGACATCGCCCCATCCTGCTAGTACAGCTCTGCGCTGTGCGTACTGTGGGAAGGGATCCCGGAGTCTGTTTCTAATTTCTGTAAATGACTGTGGACATGGTGTGGTTAGAGGCCGCCCAGAAGAATGTGTATATGTAAGGGCTCAGGGAAGAGGGGGTGGGAAGGAAGAGGGGCAGAGGGAGAGACACTGCCTGATGCAAGCTCTTTTATTGCTTTTCTTATCCCTGCCTCAGTTAAATCCCCCACCCCCACCCCGCCTTTGCTCATTGCTGGATTCTGAGTACAGAAAGTTGGAAAGCTAAAGTTTGCTAAAGTCGAGTGAGTTCTTACAAAGTTTAATTGCCCTATGTTGTGAATATATTGGAGAAGGGGGGGATGGGGAGAAATACTACGACTAAAATAGATTTGTAGCAATACAGTTTTCATTGGCCTTATACATACATGATTGACACCTCCACACACTTCCAACTAATCTCTTCGACAGCCTTGTGTTATGTTCGTTTAATTGCATCTTTGAAACAACAAACGCGGTGACTTCATAGGGAGCTGCCTGGAGCTGAGTTTACCTCTCAGAAAATGGGGCAATCGGGTTTGTTTTCAAGGCGGGGACCTAAACAAAATGTAGGACACCTGATCTGCGGGATGAAGGGCACTGGTAACTAATTAGCAAGACTTAAAAGTTCACATCTGTAGAGTTTTACTGAAGGATGGGAAAATAAATAAAAGTTGCTGTATTATGAAACAAGTGTTGGTATTTTCCCAAATTCGTGATGACTGGGTTAGCAGGATCAAAGTGAAAACTTCCATCATGCTCACTGGTTGCTTTTGGTGGTGCTTTGATAAACATTATTTCTCCTTTTAATATCATCAGTATTTTTTATTACGTCTATGCTTTTATTGATTCAGTAAATTCATACAGAGGCGAACTAGCTGCTTTTTTAACCAATTCTAAATTTATTATACTTTTCCATAATAACATTGTGTCCTAACTTTGATGTTCTAGAGGCTTTGTGGGAGTATGTGTGGGGGAGAAGGTAGGATGGAAGCTGGAATTAAGGTTAGAAAAATATCTATGGTTAGTTATTAAGAAAAGATTAATTTGTAGTGACTTTCACTTTTACAATTAGAGAATTATGACTTTTACCATTATTTAGGTCTGTCTTTTGAATTTACATTTGTGCCACCACAATGTTTACTTCATGTAAAGCTCCTTAGTTTTTGGAGGGTGATTACTAGCATCCAAAAATATTTATAAATAATTTTTCATGTCACACAAATACACAAACTGTTAAAACCAATGTCAGTTTAAAGGATGAATTTTGGCGCTGTAATACGGATTAAAAGTTCTAGAACTTACATTATCTTTTCCTGGAGGCCTGCCTCCAATGCAGGGAGTGAATGTGAGAATTGGCTAATCATTTGTTTCTGTGCAGATAATAGGTATCATTTTAAAAAAATGGAGTTTATGTCTTCTTTATTATTAAGAAAAAACAGGTCTAATCCTTGCTTTGTTCCACTTTTAATAGGCTAAGGATTGGATGGGGGAGCATTGTAGCTTCTCTTGTCAATTGAGTATATTTTTTTCCAGCTCATCAAATTGCCCAGCCTCAAACATACGGGGGAAGGGTAGGACTACTGGGGATAAGCTACCGCTGCTGCTTCCTTTTTTTTGACAAGAGTTTGTAATTTTTAAATAAATTATGAAACATTTTTTGTAGTATAATTAAATAGTAATTAATACCATTTGAAATTGAAAAGAAACACTACAATACACTAAGCCAGTGCATTTATGAGTTAATCCTGTCAATGTATTCTTATTTTGGAATATGCTTTGGGAGAAGTTTGTGCCATTAATTAGAACAGTGAGCTGAAGGTATTCTTTAGTGCCTCTGATGTAACTAAATGTGACTCATTTGTGTTAATGTCACTTTACAGGGTAGGGGCCTGAAAAAGAAAAGATACTGAGTCTCAGGATAGAAGGATTAGTGCTGATAGGTAGGGAGTGGGGGTCTGTTGCTCTGGATTTACCTTTTTTTTTTTTTTTCTGAGAACCTTTCTCCCCTAATTTGAAAATTAAGATGGGTTGAACAACTAAGGAACTGAAATTTTAAAAGATTTCTTTTAATGAGTAAGTTAAAGTTCTACACTCAGTGTAAATATATCAAAACTACGGTCTGCAAACTGCTCTGTGAGGAGTTCCAACAATCCTTTAAGTGGAGGGGGTAAAATGAAAAAGTCTTTAAAACCCCTATCTTCCTGTTTAGTGTCAGGCAGCTGTGAGTAAGCATCTTGTTCTATCCTGTCCGAAGAATGTGTGACTATACCTAATAGCTTATGAGGCAGTAGGAGACCAATTGTTTAAGTTCTTAGGATAAAAGGCAGCTACTCCTAAATGGTCTAGTGTAGCGGCTGGTGTAGATTTGAACCACAGACAAACCTGTTTTTTCCCAGGGTTTGCTATCATACCTGGATAATGCCGGAACAGGGACTGGTTAAGCACCTGTTTTAGTATGTTTGCCTTATCCTGTGCTCCACCACTGAATCCTGCTTTTTCTTTCTTTTTTTTGTTTGATTCCAGTGTGAAAATTTACTGAAACAAATTTCCCCAGAGAGAATCCTTCTGCTGTAGAGTGTGGACTTTACTGTTTGACAAACATGTGTCCAATCCTAGGGAATATCTTTAAATCTACTTTCCACATCTGTAAATAATAATATATACCTCCCAAGATATGTTGAGGATGAAATTAAATAATATACATGAAATTGGCAAAGGCAAGTTGACACTCAATATTTAGTTTGTCCTTCCTTTCTAATCTCTTTTACATAATTGAATAACATTCAGTGATAAAAATTTATGATTGGGGGCGCCTGAGTGGCTCAGTCGATTGATCGTCTGCCTTCGGCTCGGGTCATGATCCCAGGGCCCTGGGATCGAGCCCCGCATCGGGCTCCCTGCTCAGCGGAGAGCCTGCTTCTCACTCTCCCTGCCATTCTATCTGTGCTCTCTATCTCTCTGTCAAATAAATAAATAAATAAAATCTTTTTTTAAAAAAATATATGATTGTATAACCCATATCACTTCTGAATGTTTAGAATGTGTAGCTAATATTTAGCCCTCAGGTGTTTTGACTTGAATTTGGGTTGTCAAAGGCCCTCTTTGCCTACCAGCAAAGAAATGTCTTTAGTTGCATACTGCATCTATGCTTAAGAAACAGTTTCTCATTTTCTTTCTAGTTTAGTAATACTCAACTCTGACTCTATGTTAGAATCTCCAGGGTAGCTTTAAAAAGCTTTTATGCCCAGGACTCAACCCAAACCAATTAAACCAAAAGCTTGGGGGGATGAGACCCAGGCATCCATATTTTTGGAAGCTCCCTAAGACAATTACAACTTGGAGCCAACTTGTGAACCAATATTCTAGTCCTCTCTAGAAAATGAATATAGAAAATTTGTCCCCACAAATGCAGCAACATTTTTATATTGTGTCATGGTCCTTTCGTCTTCATTAAGTCATAATTAAAAAATTTTTTTTCAGAAGCATCTATGTATATGCCCATTTACAAGACTTTTACTATTTGAATCAGAATTTAAGGTACGACTATTTCCCTCTACTTCTTTTAGTGCTGCACTGTCCATTGTTGTAGTCCAGATACATGTGGCTAAGTTTACATTAATTTAATTAAGTGAAATTTAAGATTCAATTTCTTATTCCCACTAACCGTATTTGAAGTGCTCAGTAGCTACTTGTGGCTAGTAGCTGCTGTATCGGACAGCTCAGATATAGAACATTTTTATAAATCATAAAATTCTGTATTAACTGAAGGATTTTTAAAAACTTTTAATTTTTTACTGTAGTATAGTTGATATACTACCTAGAGGTTTTGAAATTTATATTCCATTTTCTCATCTGAAGTGGGTGTATATTCATTTCCCTTAGACTTATAATTTAAAATATATTTCTTATAGTTTTTTTAAAAGATTTTATTTATTTTTCGACAGAGAGAGATAGCGAGAGCAGGAACACAAGCAGGGGGAGTGGGAGAGGGAGAAGCAGGCTTCCTGCAGAGCAGGGAGCCCAATGTGGGGCTCCATCCCAGGACCCTGGGATCACGACCTGAGCAGAAGGAAGATGCCCAACGACTGAGCCACCCAGGCGCCCCTATAGTTTTTTTTCTAATGTGGAGAAATACCACATATTTGATGCTTATATTACATCTTTACTCAATCTGCTATACCTAGTTGTAAGGTTTTCCTTTTCAAAGTTAACTGAGACAAAGTTAACTGAGAGGTGGAACTTCAGTGTGCTTTATTTATATCAGTATGCCCTGAATCTAACCAATGGCTTAATTGCCCTTGTGTACTCCAACAGTTTCAAGTTGGGAAATAGAGAAAGTCATCATTTCAATTCAAGTGTTGGAATTTGATTCAAGGTTTTTCTATCTGGTGAAGGTGTTTTTGTTTTTTGTTTGTTTTTCTTTTAGTTATAGAAACTCTTGGTTGTCATATGATATGATTAAATTTCCCAACAGAAAACCATCATATTAGTTTTAACATGAACATACAGATACATGAGAGACTTTATTCTTTCCCACAAGGGAAAGCATCCCCTTCTACAAAGAATGAGGTTCCTAAACAATTTGAGGTGGTTGGAAGCTAACACTATGTCATGAATTTTATTGGTGTTTACCACTTGTTAACTACTGAT